GTGCCTTTTCCAAGGACTTAAGCAAAATGCTTAGCGAGGGCTCACACCCAACCTCTTGGCTGAGAAAAAGGTGCTACCAGTTTTTTTTTTATTTAAAAGAAAAGTTATTATGATTATTCCTGTACAACGAATACCATATGTATTGACTTCAGAAACACTTTAGTGGAGAAATCATGATAAATCTAAACCATCTTAATATAAAAAGTATATTTAGGGCATGTTTCTGCTGAAGAACGCCAAAAAAAACGTTTTTTAAAAAATGGTTCGGAAAGTGTTTATAAACAAAAACTGGGTTGTAACCAATTTTTGACTACAGGAAAAACGGTTTTCTATATGTGTGGTCGTTGTTGCGATGACGTCATTTTATCCCAGAACGCAGTTCGTACGGCGGAAATGCGGTCGATCGGCCGGCTGAACTAGGGCTAGGCCTATGGCGGTAATGTAGTATAGTATTCTCCCTGCTACAGTGCTAGGCTAGGGCCTAGTTTCATACAACATTACAACATGACGACAAGACTTGTGTACCATCGACAACAGTGTGTTGAATCCCGCCTTCCATCACATAGGGGGATCGTGCATGTCACGATCCCCCAGAATATTGTCCAACATGTCATAATACGGACAAGTTTGCCTGTCATTACCGGACCTACCATTATGGTCCTTCACTAGCGTGTACGCCCGTGGCAAACGCTTAAGCTTGTTGGTTACTTGAACCGTTGTCAACTTTACTCCGAACTCCTCTTCGACTTTTCTTACTATCTTCTTGTAAATGTGCGTATCACTCTTGCTTCCTTTTAATCTACCCCCTACTTTCTCCTCTCCCCACAAAGTTATAACCAATTTTGTAATTTCGTTGTTCCACATTTTCGCGCGGTTGTGTTGCTTTGGAAATTTGTGTGGAATTTTGACACCGCAAGGTCAAATCGCGACTGGTATTTGGTTGCAGCTAAAAAGTGCTCTCCAAAAAAACGGTTTTCCCCTTAAAAAACGTTTTTTTTTCTATCGGACTCGGAATGGATTGCGTTTTTTCGAACCGTTTTTTTCGATCGGAAAAAACCGTTTTTCTGTCAGTGGTACCATTTCTACTAGCAGAAAAAAAAAACGTTTTTTTTAAACCGTTTTAAAAAACGTTTTTTCTTGCCAGCAGAAACATGCCCTTAAACGAATACAATATACAATGAATTCCAATTTGAGTGTTTGCTGTGGTAAGGGGAGCATTGGTATTTGAGAAGGTGTTACAAGGTATTTTATAGGTCTCCAAGGTCTAGTTGAAAAAAGGGAATTATAAATTGGCCTATAGGGTTTAGTTTTGAAGCACACCAAAATATATGTCATTGTAGTCTCAATAATTATTTACTTTAAAATAAATCAAAATAGCAGTGATAAAACATCACCACTTTAAAACATGATTGTATAAATTTGTAAAATATACAAGACAGATTAGAAATACTCACTACAAGCGTTACTCTAGTGAGCTATTTCCGAAGCTGCCAGTATAATTTATATTAGCCATAATCCAAAGGCTACATAAATCACTGCCATATTTTAAAGCAGAAATCAGATGCAAAGAATTTTGTGATTTGTGAAAACCTGTATATTTGCTTTCAAACTAGAAAGATATAATATTACAGTATAATTTCTTATGTATGTAATTTCTGATGAAAAGGATGAGCGCCTTTGAACATTATTAATGGATACAGGCGCTATATAAATGCATTTGATTGATTGATTGATTGATTGATTGATTGATTGATTGATTGAATAAAGTTATCTGTATCTTAAACCAATTATGAGAGTTTCATGTAAATAAAAAATATATCCAAGGACCCATTCTCATACATCCATCCATCCATCTATCCATAGATCCATCCATTCTTGCATCTATCCATCCATCCATCTATCCATAGATCCATCCATTCTTGCATCTATCCATCCATCCATTTATCCATCTATCTATCTATCCATAGAGCCATCCATTCTTGCATCTATCCATCCATCCATCTATCCATAGATCCATCCATTCTTGCATCTATCCATTCATCCATCTAACCATAGATCCATCCATTCTTGCATCTATCCATCCATCCATTTATCCATCTATCTATCTATCCGTCATATTTACTGTAGCATTCTAACACTAGATTCAGCTATGATATCATCAACCAAACAAATCATATTTTTGTTTTGCCTCAGTGATAGTAAAAAATCTTTGAAGTATTTAATCTGTGTCATCCCCTTGTGATGTCAGTTGACAAAGGTTATGAGAAACTAGAGAATGTGTTAACGGAATGTATCCTCCTTCTTTCTAAAGAGTTCAAGTAATGTATTGAAATACATCTAATCATTTTAAATGATAACAAATTATTAAAATATGTAGCCAATATATAGGATAAACGATTATTTGTTTAATTAAAGGAGAAAATATCATAAACTAAATTATGCTTATTTTAACAAGTATTTTTTCTCCAGGCTCAGGTAGATTACGCCAGCCTCTGGTATTTTAGAATCAATGGATTAAAAAGTATACTGTATGAAATGTAGGCCTGCTTTAATCTTCCTGTGGAAATCTGTATGCTTCACACTAACAATGTGAACTAAGTTAATAAAAATGAAAAACTTTGTATTCTGCAGTGTCTTTTATGTAATGATCTAATTACAAAATATAATAAAATATAAATATTATTGAATATAATGTTGGTCACTCGGCGGCTGAGGCAAGAGAGAACCTGTTTTACCAACACTAAGCAGAACTTTGACAAGCCCAGAAAGCAAGAGGTCTCTCTCAATAAACTACTGCTGTTTTTAACTGCCCCTCTTGTGCCTGTCAGTGCAAATCTAGGATTGGACTACACAGTCACCTCTAGAGCTGCAGGAAGCAAATAACTAATTGAGATTATTTGTAAAAATAAGAAATAAAAATAAAAATAAAGTAATTTGATAATATTAATTAACATTAACTTGTCTATCTAACTATGCCAATATCTTCCTGTAAAACAGCATTGTGCATGTAAACATTATTGCATAGTCTATTAAGACTGATGCTGACTTTTTTTTTTCAATTAAAATATGAATCCCAACACTTTTGCGTGTATTTCAATACTTGTAGTATGTTTTATACTTTCTTAAATGATAATTAAATTGTAACAATCCAAAGTGACCTTTTTTAAACTTTACACAATAACATTTACGTAATTATCTATAATAGTGGCGTTTATGCTAATGACCTTTACATAATACTCATTGCTTCATGTCATATACTGATTCTTATGTACTGTAATAACACAGTGCTATTTGTAGTATAACACCGCTGGGATTTGAGTTTTCCTAAGAATAATGTTATTGTTGACCTTAAGAATAATGACTTTCTCAAGTGACATTAAGAGTTAACAAATGAAATCTCGGTTTTCCTCCTGGTCTTTTTCCTTGGGGTTCCAGTTTATTATTCTTCTTTGGTCTTTTGTTGGAAATGTTCTTAATTGATTCTATTCGATGATTCGTTACAGTGTGTTTAACTTGAATAATTATACATAAAATATATACAGGGCACGTTTTATTGTCACTATCTGATTGGTTTTTTCATTATAGGAAATATTTATATTTTACATTCTTAAGATAATCAGAATGAATATGTAAAATTTGTATTGATAATATCCAGGATTTTATTTTGCTAATAACAAGTGAATTGATCTCTTATTTTAATTTTTTTTTATAGATATATATTGTAAATTTTGCTACTGAAATTGACAAATTTATCCCCCCCCCACCCCAATCTCAATAAATTTATATCTGGCTAGTATAATAGAATTCTTTGACAAAAAAACTGTTGTATGCCCATATATAGTCATGATCTGCCTATATATGGTCATGATGTGATGTCATCATGACCATATTTAGGCATGTCACATGTTTTTGTCAAATAAATTAGTAGTTCTATCTCTTCTTATTGTTTGGAAAATAAAAAATATTTGATTTGATTTGATTTAGTGGTAATTTTGAGTACTTTCCTAGAATAGTCTTGGTCTTATTTTCATACACATGATCATCAATTAAGCAACATCAATCATTTACTTTGTTTTTCTTTGTAAAGATCAACATAGATCTAAATTTGCTGCATATTTTGATTTCAGTAATCTGTACATCTGGTGGCGTCATTAGATGTGAAATTATCTTCTTGTGTTATTCAAAAATGTAAACAATTATTGTGGACAATGGTTTGGTATTCTTCAAAGCTTGTTATTTTGTTTTGTCTTCGTGCTACTCCTCTTGTGCTATGACGTATGAGTTGTCCAAACTTGTTTGATATGATTAATATTTTAGAAGCAAGTCACTAGCAGATTCAATTAATGATTCATTTCTTATAATGTTTATCTTATTGGATTTGACAGCTGCTGGTTATTTGAGATTTCTATGGATCCCTTTATTTTCTTCCTGTTCCTTTTGTTAATATATCAAATGCATTATGATTACTGGTTTCAAGGATGTAAATTTACCTTTAGGTTACATCTATTTGATTTCTTTTTTTTTTCAATTTATGAATAAAGGGTTATTTGTAAAGATAATGACTGAGTAATGGTTTTTATGAAAGTGAAAAATGGAGTATTGGCATAAAACATGTCATAAGTACAGGTATGCATGGTGTAGGCGAGTGATTTGTTTGGTAATTACTGTAAACATGTTTCCACATGTCTGTAGAGCCAGACTGTCCCATGTGTTATAATCACATGACTCAATATTTTATAATTATTATTTTTTTCATTACACACATGAACAACAAGCTTATTCAAATGAATGGGGAAATACAGACTATATGTAACCCATGGAAACAAGATCAGGGTGGGGCGGCGTCAGTGGCTGGGCCTGCTGGACCTGGGACACCTGGCGGAACTATCGGAAGAAACATTAAAATTTAAAGTAAGCTGAATATTCAGAACACAGCTTTGTAAATACATGTAGTTAATTTGTTAGTATCCCTCAGTGTAAACTGTTGTTTTATTTGACAGATTGGTCATCAGATCCGAGCCAGCAACTCTCTGGAGTAACGCAGACATGCAAGACAAAGGTGATTGGAAGGGTATGTTAAGTATTTTTAATACTACTGAATATTTTGTATAGTAACTTCTTTTAATCGCTCATATATGTTTACAAAAATTTATTCAGCTCAGTTGTGGGTCCAAGGATGTAGCATTTGGGGTGCGTAAATTCCCCTTTTCAGTAGCCAAAAAAATGTACATTTGTTCAATGGGAATCACTGAACTCAGAGCTAATGCCACAAGGTGGGGTTTATAAATGACATATTGATTACAGAAGAGAAGAGGCAAACTTAAAAGAAGAGAAAACAAGTTATTGTAAATATCTTTGTGATTTTATTGGAGGTGAGGATGGTCAAAGCTTTTAGCGATTTTATTCACATTATTCTATAGGAAAAGACAGTAAATAAAATCTTTGAAGGTTCGTTGATATGTTCCGTATTTCGATTGTCAACTGATCTGTTGCTATCTCTTCCCACAGGCTAATTTACAGAGTTGTATTTTTCTTTATAATCATTGAAGAGCCATGATTTGGCAGTGATTTATTTCACTTGTTGGTATTATTCCTCCGGCTCTTGTAGTGTGTCAGACACTATGTAATTTTGTTTATATTTTATATCTACTGTTACATGTTTAGTTAATAGGCAAAATTAATGAAATATAAAAGAAAACAATTTTGTGAGTGATAGATTGGAATACTTTTTAAATCACTTTTGACTTTTATAACCACAGGCCTAAGGTATAAATAAGCTTTAATAACAAAACTGATGAATATATTTTTATTCCACAGTTTGTCATGTTGCATGTGTTGAGACTAATTAAAAGTATCAAGCAACTTGAATTAGACTGTATATCAATGTTTTTTTTCTTTGCAATTTATCATCATCGACATGATTTATTTAGTCATGCCCTTTTTTTTTACAAGTTACAACAGTAAGACTTTGATTTGTGTGTGAAATATTTTAAGTACAGTATTAACAAAATGTTGTGAGATTGTCATGTTAATACAGTACATTTATGTTTTTTTTATATATATATTAAAGGAAATAACTCAACTTTTTTTAAAAATTTTTACACCTTAAATGCACAGCTTCTCTCCCTTCACTTTTACCAATGCTAGTCCATGGACCTTAGTGGGCCGGCCCAATCTTTTTATTGGTATAGCACACCTCTCTTCCTTTGAAATCAACACTGCAGTCTATAATACCGTACTTCATATACACCCTGTGTAGTAGTACATAACTTCAAGAACCAGAAATGTTATTACACTTGACTTTGACTATACCTCCATGCTTTGACTATAATAGCAAGAAATTTTATACATTTTTTAGCAAACTTCATTTTTGAAAGATCTTCTAAAGGGGTAGAAAATAATAAAATAAATATAATCTTATTTGTGCTAGTATGCACATGGGACCACCAGCTTAATGCCCCATCAAAAGGATAAAAAGATTAGAACAAAGTGTCTCAACACCAAAGTTTAATTCCTTAACACGCCAACTCACCCTCTCTTTTGATGTTGATGAAACACAACATATATAATCACCATGGTGATAATTAATCACCATAGCAATAAATTACAGTAAATGCTAACTGCATGAGTGAATTTGTGCATCTTATTCTATTGGAGGTGATTATTATGAAATTTGAGTGATTTTATGACTTCATAGTTCATGCTCTGATAGTTTGATTCAGAACGTTGAAATATAGTGACTTTTTCAAGAAAAAAAGTGTAATATCAAAATTGTAATCCTACTTATCTGCTCATTACAGTTAATATGTGTGTAAAGTTTGCTAATAACTATGGTCACTGGTGCCTCGTTTAGGGGTGATGTATGTTACCTTTATATGTCACTGTAACACATTTTGCTGTTAACTTTAAATGAACAAAATGGCATTGAGAGTATGGCGACATATGTATTTTGTTTTAGTTTTCAGACCAAGAAATAATTAAAATAACAAAGATTAATTTAGCAAATTTGAAAAAAAATAACATTAACAAAATAAAACACTAGTAACAGTAAAAAAATATTACAAGAATAAATTAATTTTTTATTTTACCATAATAAATCTTCAATCCATAGCAGTTGTTTTTGTAAATATATTTATACTATAATAAATAAAACATCAACTAAAAAATAGTACCAAACAGTATAAAAAATATCATATGAAAGCAAATCTTTAGATCATCCTGCGCTAGTATAATGAGTTTAAAAAAGACATAAAACAAAGATTTATTAAATGTATGTGTTTATTTTTAAAGTATGTTTTTATTTTTAAAGTAATCTTTATAATGTTTTCTTATAGAGTAAATTAAGTTAACTTTGTTTTCTTGTTGTGTTTGTTATTTTTAAATAATTCACTTGGTTTCTAGTTGAATATTTCAAGAGTTTTTCTTTTGAGTTAAAGTAGGAAGAAGTCAAATGTTTCATGAATAATTAATCCACATTCGCAAGTGATGACATTTCTCTTAAACACAACTTATGCCTGTTATTCTACTAAGCGTATTTGTTCATGTGGAGCTAAAATGTTTGACCATATGCATGCGTAGGTGAATTTTCATGTGCAAATCCTTCACCAGATTGTTTGATTACGTTGGTCTGCTTTGGTGAATTTTGAAATCTGAACAGTCTCTACTTTTTGGAAAGCAAAATAATGTGTAGCCAATCAGAGCTTGGGAAAAGGCTTAATTGCACCAAAGAGCGCAGAAGCAAACCAATTAATGTTTGTGTATGAATGGTACGCTGACCCGTGAAAAATGAGTATCGCAAATCTTTTTGTTTATGTAGAAAAAAATAAGGAAGCGCTCATGCGATTTTTTTTTCACAGCAAAAACTTTTTGTGTTATGTGAATAAATTTGTCTAGTGGAAAACTACCTATAAATGTTGCCCTACACAGCATCTTGACATACAGTACTTGAAACAGTGCATTAAATAGCAAACCATTCAGTATATACATCTCAGTAAACCTCAGATCATAGAATAATGTAGTAATAATATTTAAGCTTTTATATAATATAATTTATTATGTTATGTAATATTTGAGCATTTTGTAATGTCACAGATGAAATTAAAATATAATATTTTGAGAAAATGTGACAAGCAAAAACCCACCCTAATATGATTGGCAGTCTCTGGAGAGAGATGATGTTAAGCACTCAGAGACATTTAGATATTGTTTATAACTTCCTCAGCACTTTTTACAACAACTTAGTCATAGCACGTGAGTATGCTGAATTTTCTGACAGTACCTAGGAGAACGAAAAATAACAAAATTATGCCTAATGGGAAATTGTAAATGTTGTGCAACAGCAAAAAAAAAAAGCTTGAAGGAACACAAAATTGGAAAAACACAAATTGTGAAAACAAACGAAGCGTGCAACGAATGCAAGACAATCTAAATGACGCATACTTCTAAGAAAAAGAAAATACAATTATGTAAATAATGCAAGAAAATATTAGCTGAAAAAATCGCATATGCCATAGAAAGTAATATATGAAACTTCTAGAAAGAAGGAAAACACTAAACCTAAGAAAGTTGAGAGCAAACAATTTGAAATGCTTTGAAATGCAAACAATCTTGATTATAGACTGTAGTGGAGTACTTACAATCAATAAAGAATCATTCATAATGGAAAAAACTAAAAGCACTATAAATGATATGTAAAACAATAGAGCAACTGGTAGCAATTGTAAACTGGCTGAGATATAGAAGATAAGTACCCAGGATCCACAACATCTTGTTGTTAATAATACTGTAATTATTATTCTTCTTTATTTGTCCTCATTCAACTTGAAATTGGAAATTTTGGCTGGGTCCGACTCCCTGTGGACCCACGGCACCTGCAGCGGAGAAAAATTAAAGTTGCATTATGGTGAAAAAGATACAATCCCTAAGAAGATTTAACTAACGTAAGTACTCAGCAGAAATCGAGATGAGAATACTTCGCAGGTGTTTTACAATGAGAAATACTCACTCCACCTTTCTGATATTAAGTAATATGCAAAGCAACAAAAGAACAAAAAAAATGGGCTTTACTCTAAACGGAGATGGAGCTCCGGACATCCTCAAAAACATTGACGATGGTAACGATATTGCAGTAATTTCTGATATTCTCTGATGCACAGATCCTGAGACGACAAATAGAAACAGCTGCTAAGGAAATCAAACTAAACATAAATGTCCAAAAAAATAGAATATATATCACAATATTAATAAGGCATTAATATTCTGCACCTAGAAGGCCTATTCGTTTACACCGCATATTTTTGTGATGATTTGTGAGGGTACACTCAAGCCATACTTTTAAGGATACTGTAAGCAAATTTGAGTTGTAGCCCAGAAGATTATTTTATTTGTTTATTTATGCGCCATTTCACCTTTAAAGCACTCCAAACTATGGTACAGTCAAACATATAAATACAAAAAAGAACAAAAGGAAACAAGAGAGGTAGGCCTATGAACTTAATTGCAAAAAATGTGGACCATTTTTTTACAAGGTGCCTGAATAGAAGCATGGACAGGGAAATCATCCTATGCATTACAAAGGCCTATGCTGCTTTATCAACCCTTTTAAAAATTCTGGACATGCCAGTTAGAGAGAGATCACAATACTTCAGAGTAGCCATTAAAAGTGCCCTCCTCTGTGGAACTGAAACAAATGATGTCTCTTGGCAATATCGTCTGACAGAGATGTAATTCAAATCTGCTTCGATTCAGCGGTCATTGTTTAAGCAGCACAAATAAGTGCATTCATGATGTTATGTTCAGGTAATCACTATAAATCAGTAGGAGGACATAGCAGAAAATGTTACATAGTACTTAGACATTTGCTCAGTGTTTCCCTTGTTCTACAGTACAACCTTTAGGCTGATCAATATTCAATACCAGTTAGGCCTCATAAAAGATAAATCAAACAACCACCTTGGCAAAGTGATCCAGATGAGTGGTTTTTATTTTCTATTTTTACTCGATCTAAATTTCCACCGTATCGGACCCAAGAATAGACACAAAATCTCTCTGTGACATCATTAACCAGCAATT